GTTTCCCACACATTATCTCTGACGTAGAAAGCTTCCCTTGAACTGGTGTGTAACCTTCCACCGTGATCATGAAACAAACTGCTAACATCTGATGTAGTTAAAGAAAAAAAAATTTTTTGTTACATTAGGCCGTTTTAGCAGACTGCCAAATATGTGGCTGTCGTTCTTTTAATGATTCTTGCTATACACATTTAACTTCCTTCCTTTGATGAATTGAGATAGGTGTCAATACTTTTGTCATCTTAATGCTTTCTTTGATCGAGAGCTAACTTGAAGTATATGCGTGAGGAAGAGAATAACCCGATGGTCAGCTTTAAGCGCTGTGGAATTTCGCTTCCGACGTTACTGCTTGTTGACGGCATCACAAGAGGAAAAAATTTATGCTGAAATTTTCAAAAAAAAAAAAAGAGATTCTGAAAGTCAACAGTTGTTTTACCTCTTTTTTGGCTCAACACTAGATGATATACAAATTTGTTTTAAAGAATTACTTGCGCAAAAAGAAGGTCTTTCTTAAACTGATACTGAAGAAAAAGTTAACTTAATAAGACTAATCTGTAAGGGTTTCAGACCTGTCATAAATAAAATTTTTAAGCGAGTTAAATTTTTCAAAGTAAAATACAGTGGAAGTTTAAGCGAAAAAAAAGTGTATAATTGAATATCGGAAAAAAGCCAGCATAACGGTAAAGTTTGTTAGGATGAAAATTACATCGACTTCTTTATTTTTATTTTTATTTTTTTTTTTTTTTTGCTTCAAATTCCAACTGAAAGAAACTGTTTACTTAAAATATTTTGGGCTTACATCCGTGTAATGCAACGGACAAAGCACCTATACCTTTACGACCGCCATTTTTCACCCATCCAACAGATGCAGTCAGACTCTGATGGGTTTCCTATTTGGAAAAATGATCTTAGGAGAAGAAGAACAAGAAGGAGGAGGAGGACAAGAGAGCGGTATAAAAAATTGTTCAACTTTCAGTTCAACAGTACGGCCAGCGATTGCTGCCGTTGCAACAGAGTCTTCTTGCTTCTTCAGTTTGTAATCGTCAAATTAACGCCTGTTGTAGTGCCATCGGTCTTTGATAATTTTGGGTATATATACACACTTATATTTTTCCGTTCTCTTTTTCTTTCTACTTCGTCTGCTGTAATGCCCTAAAAAGCAATAAGGGTTGGCTTTTCTCAATTTGAAAAAGCCTGCCTTTTGACATAACGGCTGAAAACAAGAGTTTTCGATCTTAACTACCACATTACCGCTGCTGAAAATGGTAATGTGATTGGTAAGTAAACTTGATTTAAGCTATAGCAGTGCAAATAATCTTTGCCCGATATATGCGGTCTTAGTTCTTTGAATGCTCTTTAATTTCATCACTAACTGTTCGCCAATGATCCTCCTGGATACGTGATCGATGTTTAGAAAGTGAAAAGAAAAAAGTGAATCATAAGAAAATGAAGAAGATTCAATTAAAAATTTTAGCAGTAACATCACTTTGTCATTTATCATAGGTAGTAGAGTAAAAGTGATAATAGAGGTGTTTGAAGATACAAAAAAATTTGTGATTTTGATTACCCATTTGCGAAGAGAAAAGTTTTTTTTTTTCTTTTCCGTTTCTTTTTTTCATGTCTGTTTGAAGAGTAACCTGGGTTACAATCGGTATTTACCTAAACATATCGACGATTGGAAATTACAACTCAAATATTGTTAAGAGAATAAATAAACATTAACAAAAAAAAAAAAAAAACAGTTTTTTCTCTCAAGACAATTTTTTAACGCAAAAGCAGAAATGTAAAGTTTTTTCTGAGAGAAACTAATGTTTTTTCATCTTTCGTTTATCGTTTTTCTTTGAGTCAGCAGGAAAATTTGACCATTTCGAAAAGGAGAAAACTCACGAAGAATGGAACATTATTATTTCAGCTCATTGATAGGTTCCTTCAAACAAAAAAAGGACAATTTTTAGGTTCTTTGTCCTGTCAAATTTTTTTTGCACCCCATTTCGTTGTTATTTCACCCAATTAATTGTCGGGCAAGTCTTTTGTCTTATTTATTAACATAAAACCGTCTCATTAACGGTTACGGTTTAAGTTGACGGATAGGACACGAATAAGTGTTGCAAAAAAAAAAAATAATAATAATAATAATAATTGAGGAGAAAGAAACGACCTGAAAAGCGCGATTAGCTTAAAATGAATGAAGCAAATTCATAGAATTCACAAAATATACAACAACAACAACAACAATCATCCGATTTCGATTTCTGCGTAGCCACCAGCTGTCATCTGAGAATACAAAATTTGCACGATACTGCTAATTAATATATTTATTGCGTTTTCTCACATAGAACTTCAAACTACATACATGTTATGGTTCGATGATCAGTTAGTTAGCCACTTTGCTTAAAACATAGCTATAGTATCAGCATCAGCAGCGGCAGGACTAGCAGTAGGAGCAGAAACAGCAATGATGGCTAATATGTTCATGGTGCCGTTTGTTTGACAAATACTAATGTGCAAACTTGGTAAGTTTAGACTTTCTGAAGTCTTCTCCATTAATTTCAACTATCTGTCCCAGAAATTTTTCTTCACAGTGTTATCGATCGGTTATGAAAGATTGTTGTTGGACATGTAGAACAAAAAAAAAAAAAAAAAAAAAAAAAAAAAAAA